TATTGATGCACCGGGGGGGGGGGCAGGGGGAGACAATCCTCAAGAGGATCTTTTCGTAGCCAGTGACTAAAGTTTGACTTGGAAGATCACAGGTTGTACAGGCCTAGCAAGGTTGCAAACAAATTGATTTACCCTTTTGAAAATACCAATGTATTATCTTTAAAAACTTTCAGTGCAGGTGATTGAGTAAGATAAGTTTCCATTAACTTACTGGCTGTTGGACTGGGTTCAGGTGAAGAGATGACTGGATCTGTCAGTTTTTCTTTATATGTGGCTGTCCTTTCTTTCATTTTCTTGACAATTTCTCGGAGCTGTTCTTGGGTATATTCATTTATGGGGGTTCCTGGCCTCTTATTGTCTGTGCTGTTTTGGGGTAGGGTGGGAAAAAAGAACAGTTGAGAAGTTAGAAATGCATTACAATATTAAACTTGGCAAGAACCCTGGTGGTGCAGTGGTTAAATGCCTGTACTGCAGCCATTCACTCACAAACCACAAAGTTGTGAGTTCAATACCAGCCAGGGGCTCAGGGCCAACTCAGCTTGGCATCCTTCTGAGGTTGCTAAAATGAATACCCAGCTTGTTGGGGCAATTAGCTTGCACATTGTAAACTGCTTAGGGAGTGCTTAAGTGCATTGATAAGCAGTATAGAAATGTACTTGCTATTGCTATATTGCTATATAGTAAATAACAAGTAATTTGTACTTATTCAAGTAATTAAACAGTAAATAATAAAGTAATCAAATAAAGTAAGGCCAGGTCATTATTACCACAGAGAAAATATGTAACATATATGATCTTTTGCCTTGAGTATGATGTTATTTTGTTGTAAAGCTTATACAACCACCAAAAGTGTTTGATAAGCCCTCTGCATCTGTTTCTACATCTTAGGGCTAGGTGGAAACCCAATGTGATGGAGAGCATCATGCACATCACATGTCCATATTGAGTAATTTGAAAACATTGCCATTTTTGGACTACGGCCCCCAAATAACTGACTTTGCTATTTTGTATATTGTCTGTGTCTGTAACCTTAACACTTTAACAGTAAACACAGCTTGATTGAAGTACTGATGTCCCCTGTTTCCAGTCTTATTATTGCTCCTAATTCAATTGCTCCAGATGATTCTGTTCTTTCCTGGCTCTGATTTGGGATTGTCCCACTGCCCCAATAACTAATCAAAGATCTCACTATCAAAAAAAAACCCATATTAATATTATGTCCAGAGTAGGACTCCTAATTTGCCACTCCCTCAACATCCTGGAATCTTAAAATCATGATTTTCGCTTGGTTTGGGAGTGAGAAGACAGAAGTAAGGTTAAATATAATGCTATGGTTTTTCAAGCTGCTGAATTCATGAATTGTAAATGAGAGCTGAGAATTGTGCTTGGCAGAAGTGTGGCACTCCTTCCCTGCATAGTCCCTTGGCTATCACTCAGTCAGCAAAACTGGAAGACACAGAGTCCTGGACCTCTAAAAGACTGTCTAAGGTGGCGGCAGCAGCAGTACATATTGTGCACAATTGTTTCAAGTTGCATAGGATGATGGGGTATTTATACACTGAGTATATACAGAACTACTTTCAATATAATAGATAAAATTTTCCTCACTTTTGCATGGCTTGATTGTCCACAGATAGTAAAGGCACAGGAGCTCAGTTGTCTGTTTCAGACTTAGGATGTTATCACATGGGGAGTCGCGGGGAGAAAGTGGAAATAAACGGGCACAAGCGGAAGTCTTTAATTTACGGGATTTGGCCCATTCCGCCTCGTCTGATAACTAAATTCGAATTTAAAAAGGCAAACCTGATCTTTTCATTTTCGGGATTTTTGAGGATTTGAAAAGATTAGGTTTTTGTTCGAATTAACCCCCTTTTAAATTCGAATTTAGTTATCAGACAAGGCGGAACAGGACAAATCCCGTAAATTAAAGTCTTCCGCTCGTCCGGTTTATTTCCACTTTCTCCCCGCAACTCCCTGTGTGACAACGTCCATAGGCAGCATGCAAGGATGGTAGAAGGAAGAAATTCACTCCAAACCAATGTTTGCCTACCTCCCACACAAAGATGTACTTCTATAATTAGGTGAAGGAAAGGCATTTTTCATGTCCAAATTACAGATGAATCTTAAGCAGTGAATTAAAATAAGCCTGTAATTGTAAGAAAGTATGTTTGAAAGTCCTCCTCTGAAGCAATATGACAATAAATACATATAGGATCAGATTAAAATTGTCATATACTGCTGTTAGTTTCAGAAAAATTTCTTATTCTCCCCCCCCCCCCCCCCCCCGAAAAATGAGACTATGGGGCTAAGCAGACGGGCGGCCATGGGCCGCCCTGGGAAGCTGCGCCGTGGGACCGAGGCATCCCCGTGCCTCAATCCTGCGGCATTTTAAATGGACCCCTCTGTGTCCTCTTCCATATTCTTTCCCTCATGCCCACCATTGGCCTCATAAGCAAAAGGAGAAGGATTAGGAATGGAAAATGTATGTGTATATTTGATGCACACACTTTCCCACAGAAGCAGAATCAAGCTTTTGAACCAATTGAGGTACTGGTTTGAAGATTCAGGCTGGATACTACTATGATCATGGAGAACTTGTCTTCAATGAGCTAGAACTCCACCCTTTAGTAAAAATTAATTTGTTCTCTGTGAATCTGATTTTTGAGTTACAACATGTGCATAAAACTGACTCAGTACATTAGCTTGTGCTGAGTGTTGTAGCCCCCTGACCCTTATTCACTCATAATGTTAAAGAAAATCCATTGGGGCATAGGAAAAATAGGTCTGAACGCAGCTGCAGAAGAGAGCCTGCATTTAATTTAAATATTTGTAAAGCACGCTAATATATTTTTAAGACAACATAGAGAATACCCTTAAGACTAAAATGGGTGGATCATAAACATATGATAGATTGGCTTTAGTTTGAATATGTAACCAAACAGTTACAATTTTAAGAAGTCTTTTGCATCTGGAAAACTAAAAAACAAAAGTAGAAAGTGAAAATGTGAGTGATTAGTTTGGGTGTATGGAAAGGTGTTTTTCTGCCTTTTTGCAGTTTTAAAAGAAAAAGATTGCCCCACTGTAACTGCTGGAATAAAGTCTTCCTATGTTCATCATTTCAGGAATACTATTTGTTTGGAAGAGCAATCTGCTGTACCTCCTTGTTTTCCCCACAGAGTATACAGATAAGTCATGCTTTCCCTACCTCCTCTCACTAGTCTTACCTGAAAGAATATGATGCCCAAAACCCTCATGGGGATATGACTGTCTGCCCATAGAATACATGCCCCTTCACAGTTTGGATGAGTGAAACCCAGAAGAGAGGAACATATGAAGCTACCGGTAAGTAGAATAATGTTTGAACAGATCAAAGAATTGTGGTGGATCACACCTATCTAATCCAGCACTCTATTCAGTGGTAAATCACTTGCTTATGGGACATGAAAATTTGCCTTTAGTAGTGGGAGGAGTACATATTCATTATGAGTAGCAGCTATTGATAACCCATATCTTCTAGCATCTCACAGATGAAAACTAAAACACTTATGGCTGAGTAACATCAGAGTGTGGTCAAAAAGATGTGGCCAGGCAACAGGGCAGAAGTTATTAATCAGGAAGAATAGACAAAACTATTATGTATGCACAGCTCAATTAACAATAAATAGGATAGTTTTTTTGTGGGTTTTTTTGGGCTGTGTGGCCATGTTCTAGAAGAGTTTCTTTCTGACGTTTCGGCAGCATCTGTGGCTAGCATCTTCAGAGAAATCTTCAGCTATGGATGCCGGCCATGAAAGCCTACGACTTCACAATAAATAGGATATTTGACCAACTATATACCTGCCTGTGCTTTGAGATCTTCTGGGGAGGCTCTTCTTTCTATCACACTATCACACCATTCTTACAAGTATATTTAATTACTTTTTAACTTTTGTATGCTGTAAATTTTTAAACTATATGTTTAACTGTTGTAAGTTGCCTTGAGCCATGAGCTGGAAAAAAGGTGGTATATTAATAAAGCCCTTCTCAAAGTTACTCTCTTAGAATAGAAATACAGAGAAAAACTTGTGGCCATCACAGCTGAATTGGGACAGTTTCACAGATGATAGCATGATTCCATGTGAATGCATCCTAGGATGTGCAATTAATTACCTTTCACTCCTCCCTACATTTTTAAAACATCCCAAATGGAACTACATATAGTTGCTCCTGGAACCCTTTGAAAAATGCTGGAATATGGTCTTTGTGCATTCAGCTAAAAGAAGAATTAAAACAGTACTTTACATGGCACTGTTATCTAGCAATGCCCTCTTCCAAAGCCAAGATTCTGTTCAGCAAACATTCCTGCAATGTTAATTAAAACTCTCTTGCTCATAAATTTTCTCTCTTTTATTACTTCCTGTTCTGCATAGTTGGGAGATTAGTGATACATGGCCACTTAATTCCCCCTTTATTACCTTACGGGCAAGGGTTTTAATTATTGTTTTCCTTTAATTCATTTCCTTCTGTTGAAAAATAGCATGACAACAAATGGGCTTTTCTGCCCTTTGTAGCATTAGACAGGATCTCAATGCTTGGGACTGAGTTCACACAAGCCACTAAGAAGAACACAGTTTATTATTCATATTATTATTCATAAGTAGAATGCTGATGCACACTTGCCCATTTGTTTCCACTTGGATTCTTCCACCAGTGGCTAAACAAATCAAGAATTCATCACCCCAAAAAAGTAGTGTGAAATCCCTACAGGTACTCCTGAGCCAAGAACGTACAGCATGTAGTATGTACATGTCTTCAATTTGCCTGTCAACGTCTGGCAACTGCATTAATTTCATAGGGTTTTCCTGTTGTTGTGTGCCTTCAAGTTGCTTCCCATTTATGGCAACCCTAAGGCAAATCTAACATGGAGTTTCTTGGCAAGATTTGTTCAGAAGGGATTTTCCTTTGCCTTCCTCTGAGGCTGAAAAAGTATGATTTGCCCAAGGTCACCTATTGGTTTTCCATGGCTGGGCAGGGATTTGTACCCTGGTCTCCAGAGTTATAGACCAACATTCAAACCAGTACACCACACTGGCTCTGTACATTATGTTGGTGGAGTATAAGCCTCCATCAGTTTACTTATGGGATCCAGCAGAGTCTGTTTCCCCCAATATGCAACAACAGCCAACATCTGTCATGCACATTTCTGTCTCCCTGTCTACCAATCAGCTGCAAGTGTCTGTCCAGGGTTGTTCCTTACTTCTAAGCAAAGAAGTAAGAAGAACCTGTCCACTTCTACCTGTTCCTCCCTCCCTCTGTGCTCAAGATCCTATTTGGGAATAAGGTTCAGAAACACTTTGGAAAACTCCTTTAATGTTTGGAGAAAAATCCAGAGAAGATTCATTGTCCCACTGATATGGAAACCACCAGCTGCTACTGGTATATTCTAATGCTTTGTCTCAATTCTCTCCTTCATCTGCTTTCATGCCCTCCAAGATTTCTTTCATGGAAACTGGGATATGTATAGCCAAGCAACATCAGTATGGTCAAGATGGCAAATGTTAGTAGTGAAGAAGAACACACAAGGAGATGCTGCAGCAGTTTGCTTTGGCCTGGGCCTACTGGGAAGGGCAAGATTCCATTCCATCCTCTTCTCTTCCCCCACTGAGTGAATTGAGTGCAAATTACCTTTGCACTTTGAACTCAGTTTGTAGCAATTGAAATAAACTGAAGAAAAAGGGGGAAAGTGGAAAGAGGAGAGAGAAACTGGGACAGTACAAAAGCAGCTGAAAAAGTAGAATGGTAGAAGATTAATTGGGATTGTCACTCCCAAACTGGGACAGTTGGAAGTTGTGTACTCTATGCCCCACAACTCATCAGATGTCAGCATTTTTCATTGTAAGAGATGATAACTCCCAAATAACTGTACTTTGCAGCTGTACAAAATGGCCACAGGTGGAAAGGAATATTTGCTCAATACACTATTTCAGTTCTTGTTTTCTTCAGGAGTTTAATTTACTTGATCAGTTACTTTCTTTTGGAACATGACCAGTTGCTTCAAACTGAATTATTGAGACCCTAAAACCCAGTTGAGGAATGACAGGCTTAGTGGTAAGTCCAGTTTCTCTTGCCTCAAATTTCATGACTTGTGAGTTAAACCATTTCTCTTGTTCATTGTCAGTGCAAAGGCACTGTATTCTTGTTGAAGCAGAATATTATGATGGATTTTCTGGATGTCATTCAAGTATAAATAAACATAATTATTTCATGTTTTGATAGTGTGATTGAGCATTTGTAATAAATTGAGGCTATCCAGTATTAAATACCAAAGGGCCTTTTTTCTATGAGTCATAGATCAGAATGAATGTATCCCAACAAATTATATTTGTGTAGTATTTTTCTCCTATCTGTAATCTTTCTAAAAGAAATGTGATATTTGGGGCTCAAGCAGCTTTGGCGAAAGACTGCCAACCCATAACATAAACCTTGTCACCATTTGGCATCGATGGGTCTTCAGGCGGGTGAGAATGATTATGTTCTTCTATATATGTGTTTAGTTACATCATCTCACATTAACCTCCCAGTCCGCACCCAGATCTACATCTTTTCTTTGCCTGCCCCTCTGCTCTTCTGTCATCTCTTAACAAAATGCATATGCTAGCATTTTCTGGGGCTAAGCAACATTTTTTGTGTATGCATTTTGACTTAATGTGGTAAGACAAATGAGCAACAGAGAACTTCAAAAGAGCTTCAAGTGTGAGAATGGAAAAGTTGTATGGGCCACTAGCCATTTGTCTGGGAAATTCTGGGACCTGTAGTACAAAAAAGTAAAACTTCAATTCTTTAGCTGTATGGCAGTGTTCTTTGATCTTTTCAAGGAAGAATCCTTACTCCCACTGAAAATTGTCCTTTGCAATTTGGTTGTACTCCTCAGCTCATCCAGGATGTCCAGCTTGAATGTCCAGGTTTCAGTGGTTTCAAAGCCTATGTTTGCCCAACTAGTGTGACAGCTCATCCACTCTTTGGAGATGTCTGATATAGCCATTGGGACAAATGCTTTAGTTACATCCCATTTGAATGAAGTAACCAACTTGTTTTTACCTCTACACCCACCAAAATATTCCTAATGCAAAAACATGTAGACTTCTTGAGGAATCCATTGTTCTCTGCCACAAAGAGGCCTGTGACCTCACTAGAATGGAGACAAATTGGATGGCAAAAGAGGGGTCCCTGTTGAGATGCAAATGGATTTTAAATTTCTTGGACTTTGAAAATCTCCCTATAGTTACATGGCCAGAAGAATGAGGAGCTTGCCTGCAAAAAATATCCTCCCCACCATATACCATCTTAACAACATGTAGGCATCTGACTAACATCACTAATTATTTTTCTCCTGGTTTGTAACATCTTGCCTGATGAAGAAGCCCATGGAGCTTTGAAAGCTTGCAACAGGTATATTGTGCATTTTGGTTAGCCAATAAAAGTATCACTGATGGATTTTTGTTTGAATTTGCTAAATGGCCAACACAGCTACCCCTGAATGTCAACTTTATGTGAGTTTGTTTTTGGAAGGATTTTGGAAACTTCAGCTGGTCAAATATGGTGTGGCCAGACTGCTGCCTAGAGCTCATTAAAGCTAGAATGGAGTCCTTGTTATGACAACTTCATTACCTGTTATCCATTTCCAGGCACTGGAAAGTGCTGTTTATGACCTTATTGTTGTGTACCTTCAAGTCATTTCCAGCATAAAGCAACCCTAACGCAAACCTATCATGGGATTTTCTTGACCTATAAAGCCCTAATCAGCTTAGGTTCAGACTATCTGAAAGACCATATCTTTCTACATTAGTTTGCCCAAGATTTGAGATCTTTGAACGAAGGCTCTCCCTCCATCCCACTGACCTTATAGGCACATTTTGTGAAGGTGTGAAGGAGGGCCTTCTCAAGGGCTGCATCCAGGTTATAGAATTCCTTTCTATTGAAAGCTAGGGTGGTCCCCTCCTAACAATAGAGAAATACTTTGTTGTTCAGATTTGCTTTTGGTCATGAGTTGGCTGCTGTTGAAAGGTTTTTCAAAGAGGTGTATGTTTCTTTATCTCCTTTCTTGTCACATTTTAAAATTGTTTTAATTCACTGCTTGGTTTTAATGTAATCACTTATTGGATAGCTTTTAAATGACTCCTTAATGGCATAACTTACTAATTTTTAGTAGTATTGTTTTAAGTTATGCTGTAAGCTGCTCTGGGTGCTGCAGCAAAAGACAGGCAGGATATAAATACATAAAAATGAATTAAATAATAAACTATTGTAAATCACTTTGTTGGACTATAGTCAAACAATCCAGAGATCATGGTGCTGGTCAAATCTACCTGGAAACAAGTGAAACAAACTGTGCACAGATGGATAGTTAGAAGTAACTATTAAATGAGCCCCCTTCACACTACTCAAGTATAGCTCTATGGCAGGGAGGCTGCGGCGGCGGCAGGGGTCCGCCTGGGTCGGTAAGGGGACTCACGTGGGGGGGCCGTGCACGTCAGGGGAGGGTGCACGCACACGTGCGTGCTGCCATTCCCCCCCCTTGGCCCAGCCGAGACCTGGGCTAGTGGAGACCGGCCCAGGTCTCAAAAAGGTTGCCGGTCCCTGCTCTATGGTTTCACTTTTAACAGCCTGTAAAAATATTGTAAGCCTGAGGGTAGGGAACCATCTAATTAACCATTTAAGTGCCTTTGTAGCTGAAGAGCGGGGTATAAATACTCCAATAAATAAATAAATAGCCATGGCAACATCTTCTGGAATCCTGGGATTTGCAGTTTTAAGGAGGGGTTATTTAAAATTCTCAGCCAGAAAGCTACAGTGCCTCCTCAGACTACAAACCCAAGGATTCCTCAGAGTGCAACCA